ATATGGGTGAAGCTATGGAAAGATATTTTGAAGAAAACAAGAGACATTATGGTAGCCACTGTTAAATTTCCTGTTGTCTTATTTTGAAGTTCTGTGCTGTTTGCATTGTTTTGTTCTGATATGCTTTGTTCTGTTTTGTTTTGTATTTGTTTCATTCTCTTTAAAATAAAATTTTAAAAAAGAAAATGCAAGTCATTTAAAGCCTCTGACTATTCACTGCATCACTCATCAGAAGGTAGTCTGGGGAAACATCTGGATCTATCATGTGATACTGAATTGATATCATCAATTGGGAACTTCATTAGCTCCTCATAGATCTGTTTTCACCTCACCTATAAACTTCTGTCAGCACTGGAAGCCAAGTATCCTATATGCCCACCCACCCAGCAGATTAATGGGACAGCAGTGGTGATATTTTCTCATAGTTGTTTCAGCTCAGGACCAAGGCTGAAATTTTCTGATTTCAAAAGAATCACACTCTACCACCGTTAGCAAATGCTCAATGATTTTGGCAATTAGCTTTTGCTTCAGACTTAAAAATATTTCTTCCTGAATCCAACCTAAAATCACATGGCAAGAAGACGGTACCTAAATAAAAAACTCATAAAGCAGTGAAGTCATCGCAACAAGTACCATGATTTTATTTACAGTGGTGTCAATCTGTCTTATCCATTTCCTACGCTATCAAAGGTAAAACAAGAAACAAGACCTCCATCACATGCAAATTTGCAACAAATACTTTCCAAGTTCTGACACTGTTTTTTGGATTTCAATTAAGTGCGTAAGACATTCCTATGTTTCAAAATCTATTTCACTGTGCAGTTAATGATCATCTACTTAGCCTTCAACTAGAAGTGAATCAATCTAACAGTAATATACTAAAAGATCAGTATTAGGAAAAGAAATTAATGGCATTCTATCAATGTCTTCCAAAGACTGAATACATTCAATGGAAATCATATGCTTGTAAGTTGTTCTCATAATCTTGCAGTACCTATCTGAATGAAAAGCCAGTCTCAAAGGTGAATTACATAAAACCTTGTTTATAGGTCAACATTAGCGTGATTATTTGCAGTTGACATTATAGGAAATGCTAACTTTGAGTACAAAAAGAAAGGAGGTGTTATCCTTTCCCAGGAAAAATTATATCTATATTTCAAAAAAAATATATACTCAATTATGATTAGTATTTTAAATTTTTTCAATGAAGAATTTATGGAAATTTATTTTCTCTCTTACTGAATAAATAACAACATAATATCCTTGAATTTTGCTACTTGGCCTTCAAAGCCTAAAATATTTACTGTCTGACCTTGTATAGAAAAAGTTCACCCAGTCTCTGTGTTGGAGTGATTGAAACATTCCTATAGCTCGTAGTAAATATCCCTGAGGTTAGAGCATGCTTTGCCCAGGAAACACAAACAGAAATGAAGGGTACCCTACCACTTAATCTGTAGGTTGTCTCTTAAGCTTGCTAAGTCTCCTCCTGACCAAGGAGGCTTCTCACAAGACGATGACCAGGTAGACTTCTCGCAGAGCCTAAGTAGGTGGCCTCTAAATGGGAGTGAAGGGTCTCAGAGTTGTTAAAGAATACACTCCCTAATCCTCTGTTCACACAATAATCATGCTCACATAATAAGGTGACTATGTCTCTTCCAAATGTTTTGGCTAAGTGATCTTCTTAATTCTCAACACCTCTTAACTTGAAGTATGTGCTCTGTCTCCTAAGCTACAACTCTTCTACATATTAAAATGATTTTAAATCTGCTGGAAGGTAAGATAGGTAAAACCCTTAAAGATATAGGCACAGGCAAGGAACAGAACCCCAACTGAACAAGAAATAGCATGAGGAGTCAACAAATGGAATCATATCAATTTAAAAGCTTCTGCACAGCAAAGGAAACCACCACCAGAGTGAAACAACAACCTACAGAATGGGGAAAGTTTTGCCAGCTACTCCTCAGACAGAAGATTAATATCTAGAATATACAAAGAACTCAAAAAAAATTAGACTCCCATAAAATAAAAGATCCAATCAAAAAATGGCCAATTGATGAACAGACACATCTCAGAAGAAGTACAAATGACCAATAAATACATAAAAAAATGGTCAACACCTCAGGCCATTAGAGAAAACTAATTAAAACAACAATGAGATTTCATTTTACTCCAGAAAGAATGTCCGTCATTGGGGGCTGGGGATTTAGCTCAGCGGCGTAAACACCTGCCTTGCAAGCAGGCGGTCGTGAGTTTGATCCCTGGTACCGATAAAAATGAAAAAGAAAAAAGGAAAAAAAAAAAAAAAAAGAATGTCCGTCATCAAGAAATCAAATAACAACAAATGTGATAGGGAAAATGAAACCCTTCCACATTTCTTGTGGGAATATAAACTAATACAACTATTAAGGAAATCAGTATGAGATTCCACAAAAAAAAATCTAGAAATAGAAATTTCAGCTAGGCATGGTGGCACACACCTGTAATCCCAGGCCTTGGGATGCTGAGGCCAGAGGACCACCAGTGAGTTCAAGGCCAGCCTGGACTACAGAGCAAGACCCTGCCTCAACAAAAAACAAAAAAAACAGGGCAGGGATATAGCTCAGTGGCACAGCACCTGCCTGGCAAGCATAAGCTTGTGCATTTGATCCCTGGTACAGAGAGAAAGAAAGAATGAAAGAGAGAAAGAAAGGAAAGTCCACTTGGCCCACATACACCTCTCTCGGGTACACTGCCTAAAGTGTGAAGACGGCACGCTGTAGTGCCCCACGCACACCCGTGTTTATTATAGCAGCACCGCTCAGAATAGCTCAGTCTTGGAAGTGGCTATACCTCTGTCAGCAGGAGAATGGGTAAAGAAAATGTGGTGTTTACACGCAGGGCAACACTCCTGAGTCATAAAGAAGGGTAAATTTGAATCAGTTATAGGAAAATGGGTGCAGCTTGAGACCATAATGCTAAGTGAAATAAATCAGACACACGGCTTAAATATCACATGGTTCCTCTTCTATGAGAAATCTAACATATAAGTAGTAAAATAAAAGGCAGACAATAGGAAATGGAGAGATAGATCCTTTGCAAATGGGAAGGGACCAAGAGATAGAGTGAGAAGGGAGGGGAGGGGACAGTGACAGAAGAGAACTGAGGTCGTTATGTGAACTGCCCAGTCCCCACAAAGAATGGGATTATCACGTGCTGCATACAAGTATTTAAAATAGAAACTGGGGGAAACTGCAGCTTCAGGACACACACACAAAAAACGATCTCAGATTTTAAATTTGGTTATCGTTCATGGCTCTGCCTGACTTGAGACCACGACCTCTAAGCCCATCCCGGCCAGTGAGCCTTCCTCTACCTTTCCACAGGGAGACTGAAAGGGTCACCACAACTACTCAGCAGCGAGCATGCCCGTCCTGAGACCTGAGACGTGCAGCTGGCATCAAATGGTCGTCCTTGGCATCCTCAGGTTCTGCCTCTAGCAAGCCAGCCAACCACAGAGAGGAAACATTCGGAAGTCCCAGTTTTAATTCACAGAAACAGGGATCGAGCCCAGCACTGCCCTTTCCCAGTTCAGTCTGTGGACTAGATTTCTACTTCCCCAGATTTCTATTTCTGCATTTCAAAAATGAATACTACAGTCTGCTTGACATACCTTTCAATTAGAAACAACTCAAAACCCAGTGGCATCTGTCCTGAACATGCACGCTTTGTCCTTCTCATCTGTTCCCTAGACAATAACATATAGCAACATTTCCTTAGCATTTGCACTGTCTGAGGTTAGTAACCCAGAGAGGCTTCAAAGTATGTGGGAGGGTGAGTGTGGGTTCCAGGCCAACACTATGCCCCTTTGTTGAAGAGACCTGGCCGTCCACGGATTTTGAAAATAGTCCCCTGAAGATACCAAGGGAAGACCTCAGATTTTAAACACTTAGTTTTTTTTTTTTAAGTAAAATGTATCATTAATTATATCAATAACATGTTCAGTGATAATGTTTTTATACAACAGATTAAAATATTCTACAACAATTTTATTTTATTTTTTTTTTTAGACAGGAACTCACTATGTAGCCCAGGCTGCCCTTGAAACTCAGAGTTACTCCTGCCTCAGCCTCCTGAGTGCTGGGATCACAGGTGTGCGTCTCCACTGGAGAGTGTAAAATGATGCAGGTGGCTTCACCGTGTCCCCACTGATCTGCTTTCAGCTGCAGAGTCCCCAGCACCCCCCGTGTTATAGCTAAAGTGAGCGGCTCAGGGAGCTTGAAGGACCCACTTCAGACAGACAGCTGGCCGTCACCAGACAGGACCGGGCCCATCTTCTCATCCCACCATGCACTCCTGTTCCACTGAGTCTGACTCTGTGCCCCTGAGTTGCCCTGTGAGCTGTTCCTGCACACTTGACCCTGGCTCATGGGCAGTGAGGCGGCGGCGGCTGGAGCTGTTTCGGGTGCTCACTGCTCAGCAGCTCCAGGAAACCAGTGTTAGAAGGCCCCTTTAAAAGAGTGCCCAAAGGAATATTCACACCATGGAAATGCGCAAATTCCACAACTAAGAGCTTTGTTTCCCCTAAAAACTCATTCACCAGGCACACTACTGGATGGATAGGAGGGCCGGAGACCAAGGGGGAGGCTGCATTTGGGGAATGGGTGGCATCAACTCACAGGAGTTCAGAGGCACAAAGGATGCCAGCCTGTCCATCTCCGTGTGTCACGTAAGGAAGAACTGAGGCCTGGAGTGCCTGAGGTCAGACAGCTGAGCACAGTGCGGTGGCCAGTCCCTGAGCCTCCCCTCCCCACTCCCGCTTCTGTGCTCTCTGCAGCTGTGAGCGACAATGAAGCCCTAGAGTGGGGCCAAGTTCCGCCCAGTCCCCCTAAAGCCCAAAGCCTCTGCTAAGATGGAGAGGTGTGACAAAGCCCAGCGGCACAGCAGCCTCACCGGTGCACGGGGGACTCTTGCTTCCATGGCGAAACCTCCTGTGCACACTCCCACGTTCCCCGGGGCCTCACCTTGGCCAGATGAGCAGCCAGCTTCTCCTTGGCATCCTTGGTCTCCCTGAGCCCATTCTGGAAAGCTGTGTCCACTATATCACACTGCCTTCTCAGGTCACTGGCCGTCTGCGACAGGATCTGATCCACGAGGGCCTTCAGCGTCAGGGAGTTGTTCCGCTGCTTGTCAGCCTTCTGCACGTTCATGTTGGAGAAGTCCAGCCAGTCCTCCAGACTCACGGAGCTGGAACACAGCTCATCTGGGCTAGGGCAGGGGCCAGCTCCCAGAAAGACCCAGAAGCTTGGCTTACCTCCATCATTAGAGAAAGCTAGCGTGTGCTCCCGCACCTGCCAGCAGGCCAGAGAGCGGTGAGCCAATGGCCACATCTTGGGAAATCTCCTGTGAGCTAATCCTCTAATCCCCAGTTTACAGAAGAGGAACACTGAGGCCCAGAAAAATGAAGTCGCCTGGTCTGAGTCACAGCTGGGGGCAATTTCGGCATCAAAATAAGCAATAGTAACACATCAAATAGGAAATCATGAGCTCATAGAGATATAAAAGAATAAACTGCTATTTTGATGAGAAATTGTTAATAATAGTGATGAATTTCACAACGATGTTAGTTAGATGGAAGTACACACACACACAACACAGCACAAGCTGCTTTTTTTGATTAAAAAAACTAGGCAAAGCAATCTTATGAAGAATCAGGAGTATGGCCGGCTTTGGGGTGGGGAAAATTATTCATCAGAAGGGGACAGGGAGGTGCTCTGTGGTGGCGGAGGTAGCTATTTAACTTATCCCTGGCTGGGCAAGAAAACAGGAAGATTGTCTGCTTTGCAGTTGGGGCAATCTCTGACCCCCGAGATCACTGTTTCCTGATAACCAAACTCCGAGTAGACGCCTTGCTTGAGTATGAAACAAACTTGTTAACTTTTCTCACAATAGATGCCAATCCTGAGATTAGGGTACAAAAATGAAGGCCTCTGTGTTGGGTCTCTGGTCCCCATCCCTCCCTTCCTCCCCCACCCCATCTTCCTCCTTCACTCAGATCGCCTGGTATGGAAGAAGCCAATGCCATGTCATGAGACTGTTCCATAGTCAAGCTCACATGGCAAGGGACCGCTGTCACCTCCTGGGTGCTCTCGGAAGTGGACCCCACCCCGGTTAAGCCTTTAGGTAGATGGTGGCCCCAGCAGCCAGTTTGGCTTCCACTCAGAAGACCACAGACACCCCACTAAGCTACCAAAACTGTCAGGTTAAAAAGTATTTAAGGCTTAAACTGTTAAGATTCAAGGTAATGCCGGGGATATAGCTCAGCAGCACCTGATTGGCAAGTGCAAGGTCCTGAGTTGGATTTCCGACATCAAAAAAAAAAAAATTTAAAGTAATTTGTTGTGCAATACAATAATGATTCAGCGAACTGTGTTTATCATCTGTGCCCTTTTCTGTGTCTATTTTATTTCAAAAAGAAAGTTTTTAAAAATTAAAATGAGTTAAATTTATTGTAATATTAACTGAAAAATGCAGGTTCAATGTTGCAAAAAAGATACATGGTATAATTCCATTTTTGCAAACTAAACAAAATTGGCTTGCACGTGGAGTGTGGGTACATATGTTTGCATGAACCTCCAGGTAATTTTGGTTATTTAGAGGACTGGAAAATGAAAAGGGGCAGATGGGAAAATTCTTAAGTCATCCTTTATGTATTTTGAGAATCTCATTGCTAAAAACATGAATAGATAAAAGAATAAATTTCCAATCTTTCATGGTTTCCTGTCACTGTCTTCAGCTAAGAGGAGCTGGTAGGCACTACATCAGGACCAGCACTCCTGTCTTGTCAGGTCCCGCCCCTCACGGGGCTCCAGGGCATTCCCAGAGTTAGCACCCTACTCACTTGGGCTCAATCCTCACAACGTTCTCAGAATATCTGATGTTTGGTGAGTTGTTGTTGAGTGAGAAACAGACGTCATCAATGGTGATGGCCGTGAACTTGTCCCTCAAGTCCTTTTCGAGACTGTACTTGGCCGAGCGGTTCAGCCTGAAGGGAGAGCGTCAGTTGGGTTTCTCCTTCTGGAAAACCCAGATGGCACCTCCAGGACCTTGAGCGGCCCTGAAGAGTAAAACCAAAGCTCGATGGGGCACAGAGTGGCCCCATCTCTGCCCTATCTCCCCGCTCCCCTAATGCACTTGATCCTTAGTGACATAAGCAAACCTGGAATTCGAGATCATCCCTTTCATGGTGGCATTTTCTGATGTCACTGTGGCGCCAAACTATGAGGGTCAGTCTGCAGCAAGGGGCATTAGCACCCTCCAGTTTATCATCCCAGATGAAGTCCAGCCCCTCCACCACCCCAGAGTGGCCACCATATGCAGGAAGAGGGGTCAGGCAACCAGAAAACCAGGGAACACAGAGCAATGCCCGACCCCACACCTCTGTGCCATGGACCCCAGCTTGCTGGCTGCAGTGGAGAGGCCAGAACACTGCACCTGATTTGCTCTGATGTCTCCTCCAGTGTTCGGGTCAGCAGAGCCACGATGCCCCGAATAATCTCAGCCTCCTTCAGTAGCTCCTGTTCCACCACATCGTGCACCAGGTCGATCCCCACACGCTTCTCCCTGGCGGGGTCAGGGCAGGCTCAGGAGGTGTTAAAGCTCTCTGGACCCAGAGTAGCACCTCATCCCCCTCGTGATGCAATGGGGACAGTGCTACTTCAAAAAAAATCCAAAGCACAAGGGGAACAATGGATGAGGAATGGCTTCTGGGCCTGAAAAACGTCAGATGGATCCACTGTGCCCTCCGTCCATTTGGCCACCAGCGCTAGGTCCGCCCCTTCTCACCTACTCACTGGAACCTGGTCTTACAACAGAATTGGATCCAGGGCAATGTTTTATAATAATAATAATAATAATGGCATCTACAAGTAAGACCACCAACACTAATACCACTCTTACCACCAAGCACCCAGTACGAGACAAGCACTGTGCTGAGGTGAACCCAAGGCCTTTCCCCCTGAGCCTCAGGCACAGCCCTTTGCCATTTTGAGATGAGGCCTCAGTAATGGTTAAATGGCCCACTCTGGGCTTGCACTTGCAGTCCACCTGCCTCAGTCCACTCCCATTTGACCTTTTCAAGAACAGAGAAGGAAAATGGGTCTCAGAGAGGCAGAGTGACCTACCCAGTATCACAGACAGGGCACTATGCATGCTTTTAACCACTAACTCCATGCACGTTATATAATCAATCTGTGCCTTGGTTTCCTTTTCTGTAAAATGGGGACAACTCACATTGTCTCACAGAATTATGGCAAAGAACAAACAAGATAGCAACCATGCAGTCCCTGGCACATGGTGTATGCTAGACAAACTTAACAGTCTCCCATAATTATCCTTAGGCTTCGATCTGAGCACTCTGGGCTCCTCCATTGGCTTCATGTGCTCTCTGCAACAAGTCAGGAACACTGCTGCCTGGTTACTGAGATTGTGGAGGAAACGGGGCTCTCTAGAAGGTCAGAGGCATGGCGCCCTGGGGAAAGTGCAGGCAGCTCAGTGTTCCTAAGCTTATCCCACCATCAGGGATGAGAGCTGGGCCTGGGGAGGTGACTAGGAGCCCAGTCGTGATAAATTTGCCTTTGCCAAGCAAAGGAGCCTGAGCTCTGGAAGCTGTTGAAGCACGGGCAGTGAGTGAAGGACTTTTTAGCCTATGAGTGAAGTGTACAAATCCGCATTTGGAAAAGTTCACCCAGTAAGCAATGAGAAGAATCAGATTGGAGGGGCTGCAGTGTAAGCGAGAGGACTGTCAGGCCATGCCAGCCAGGGAGGTGACAGGGATCAGGTCTAGAACTTGGCATCATCCAGGCTGCAGGGAAAGGCTGCTCAGAGACTTACAGGAAAATGATAAACAGATACCATCAAAGGAGTTATGCCCACTTAGTGCTGTCCAGATTACAGTGCTCTGCTGTGCAGCTGTGCGTACTGCAAGGGACTTATTAACGAGCAATATCTGCAGCTTCTATTCTGGTCATGATTTTTTTCTCTGTGTTTGGCTTTGGTTTTTAGACAGGATCTTCCTATATAGTTCAGACTGGCCTTGAACTCACTCTGTATCCCAGGATGGCCTCAAACTGGTGGCAATCCTCCTGCCTCAGCCTCCTGGTGCTGGGCTTAAGGTGTGTGGCCCCACACCCTTCTGTTTTCATCACTTTTCTCGGCCACAGGATCCCTGCGTTTTCAGATAAGCCCCTGGATGCCCAAAGCAAAGACAGCCATTTGCCAGCTTAACTGGTGTGGCTTTTGATTAAGGTCCAGTCAGTGAGATGCAAGTGGACATGATGAAAGCCAAACCCTACTTCTTGCCGCTCACAGGGGAATGTGGACGGAACACCTGAACCTCCAGCGGCCCCATTAAATCGCAGCAAGCGCCAGGGAATGAGCGCCAGAGGAATGGAGTAACAAGGTAGAAAAGGCTGCAACCCCCAAAGTGTGGCACAGCACACCATCCTGAACAAGTATCCTTAGACCGAACGTAAGAAAGGAACTGCTTCTTCAGCTTAATGGCATTTTGCAGCTGTCTGACACCCTAAAGTTAGTGGAGAGAGAAAAGCAGCACTCCTTCCACTGCCCAGCACCACCGCACGCTGGGATAATTTCAGGATCTAAACGAGAACCTGCCTGTTGGCCTCCTGACCCACCCTCTCTCACTGTCCGCTTCTGCTACCCAGCACTGCCTTTTTCCCACAGAAAGGAACCTCCCCTCCTACCTGTAGGCCAGGCACCTCTCGGTGATATGCAAGGGTTCATTGAAAGTCTCCAGGGCTTTTTCCAGTCGGCTTTTGTATGAGAGCAGGTCTTCGGTTTCATGCACAAGTTGCTCAAGCTTGTCATCTAATTCCTTCTTCCAGAACCTGACTTCCTCAAGCCTCTGCTCTGAAGCACACAGAGAAGTTATGCTGGGGTCAATTCCTAACGGAGCCAAGCTTCTAAAAGAAGATGAAGACAGAGATAGAGACAGTGATAGAGGTAGAGACAGAGACAGAGACAGAGATAGAGATACAGAGTCAGAGATAGAGACAGAGATAGACACTGATAGAGGTAGAGACAGAGACAGAGATACAGAGTTAGAGATAGAGCTAGAGACAGAGACAGAGATATGTTTCTTATTTCTCCACACTGTAGCTTTGGGGAAGTTAACCATAGTGGTCTCAGGAAATGCAGCTCTCAGCACAGTGAGCAAGGTGAAGGTGGGGCAGTGGCTGTGCAGCAGAAAGAACAAGTCAGTACCTTATTCGATGGCTTAGAATAGCTTGAGGACAAGTTAACGAATGGAAAGGAATATATAGAAAGTGAAGAGACCACTATGGTTAGTAACTTACCACTATGGTTAGTAACTTACCATCTGTGTGTCTTTCTATATATTCCTTTCCATTCGTTAACTTGTCCTCAAGCTATTCTAAGTCATCAAGTCAGGTACTGATTTGTTCTTTCTTGGACACCTCTCCCAGAGAACTTTCTCCAGCTCCAGCAGGGACAAATGGCTCCCTCTTTGCTGCACGGCCACTGTCCCACCTTCACCTTGCTCACTGTGCTGAGAGCGGCATTTCCTGGGCTGCATTTCTTATTCTCCTTTATTTACCCCTCAATGTACAGAAGCACATTGGGAAACCACCTGGAAGACTCTGCTGGAAAGAGGAGCAATTGTCTCCATTTGGCTAACCCTGGCCCTACCTCCACGTACTGATATGTATGGAGCTGGCCAGGCCATTTCCTGTTTCCTTCAACTCACTTTAAGCAACATAAACAGGGTGGGCTAAGGTGCTGACACATAACTTTTTGAGGTTTTGTTTTGCTGGTATCAGGGATCAAACTCACGCCCTCACACCTGCCAGGCAGGTGCTTACACCACTGAGCTAAATCCCCGGCTACATAACCTTCTGTTGCTGTCTCCCCACCCCATGACTCCCAAAAGCGTGACTGAGCCAGGCTGGGATGGAGAGACATGGTGTCGGGGCTGTCACCTGGGAGCAGGTAGAGCCTGGAGTTGGCAGCTATGACTTCCCAGAGCAGAGGTTTACACAGCAGAACTGAAGCACCTCCCCACACCTCAGACGCTGCCTCAGTTGTGTTCTGCAGAGCGGTCTCTCTGCATGTCCTCCTCTCTGCCTACGGCACAGGTGTTTTCAGGCCTCCCACCGCCCAGCTCGTGGTACTCACGTAGTCCCTACCATCCTCACGGTCACTGGGCCTCAAGCCACGCCATTCCCTTCCTCACAACTTAATCAAATCCGGGTTGGGCCCTGGGTCAAGGCCTTTGGACTTTCATCCTGGCCAGACTTAGGACCCCTTGGGTTCCCGTGACTATAAATACATCTTATTGTCTTTATTCTCACCTTGAGCTGCGCTGGAAATGGTAGCTCAGAACTGCTAGAATTCCAATAACATTTCCACGAGATTATAAACATAAACTTCCTGGACCCGAGGAGGTCTGGGTAGGGCTCTCTGTATTTCAGGAACTAGGAAATAGACACAGCCCATGTACAGTGTTTACAGTCTAATCAGGCTTTTACTCCACACTCACTGGTGACACTGGGCTGCGTTGCTGTGGGTTAGATTTCACTTAGATATTGATAATGTCTCATTTCTTCCACTTTCCAGTGGTTCTGCTTCAAGGTCTGAAACCATTCCAGTTCCTGAATCTCTGAATAGGAAATTTTTTTCCACTCTGAGAGCTTTTAAGAATTTCTCTATTGTCCTAGTGTCTGGAAATTTCCTGCTGGTGTTAAAAAGCTTAATTATGCTGTTATCACTAGTAATTACACCAGACACCTGGCATGACATTTTAATCTGAAACTTTATGTCCGTTAGTTGTAGGAAATTTTTTTTCTCTCTCCTGGGTGAGTTCTTCTCCCTAATTATCTCGGTTCTCTTTATGAATCATCATTAATTATTGAGACTGTCAAATTAATCTTCTAATTTCCCTTTTTTCTCCAGTAATCTATTTCTTTGTCTTTTTTCTCTACTTCTAGAGTAGTTTCAAATCTTATCTTTTGATACTTAATATATTTTGATACTTCTTTTAATATGTTTCTGTACTTTTATTTTTAATTTCCCAGAATTCTTGTTCTCTCAATATTCTATTTAAATTCTGCTTGCTCCATTAATGTACTATCTTCTCTGGATTCTCAAGGACCTGGTGGAATACTTTGTGTTTTGCTCTATGAACAGTTTCCTAAATTGCCATGTGTTTGATTATTTGCTTGTTTCTGTGTCTGCCATATTAGAGGCTTTCTTCTACTGTTTGGTGATGATCCTCATCTAATTTAAGGAGGAGATGCCAAAATGCTACCTTCAAGCTCCATCTCTATGGCAGCACTTGCCAACCAGAAGAGCTGTATCGTAGAAAGTCCTGAGGCAGACACAGGTTTCCAAGTGGAGAGCACCTAAATGCTAGTATCTGTAGATGTTTCTTTTGGGACCAGTTAATTTCTTCATTCAGAAATCTTCCAGTCTATTGTCTGGGAATAGAAGCCTGGCTCCCTGTGTCTGGGAACCAAGTAAAAGAAGAACTACTCTGTAAGTTGATGCTCACTGAAACTTTGAATTTGAGTCTTCTGTTGAGGTTCGAACAAACCAGAGTGGAAAGGGGGCTCGTACAGAGACTTTTTGCCTATCTTGCTTCCAGCTGTGTCCTCAAATTCTAGCTTTGTAAATAACTGGATGCATTCGACTTTGAACATTTCAAAATTTCTGCAGCATGAATCTCCAGCATGAATCAGCTTCTTACTGTCTTCTACCCATCCTGACTTCCTGCAAAACCTGAATGACTTCATCTTTTCCTTTCTAGCTTCCAGAATCCTGTTTTCATCATTTGTGCACGCCTGTGCCTCTCCTGCTTGTTCCTTTATGGAAGTTTTGTTGGCATTTTAAAAGGAAGAGAAAGCAAATGCACACATTCAACCCAGCATGGAAACCAGAGTCTACCCACTGTCACTTTGAAATGACTTTGCCCCCCTTCTCCTTCTGCTCGGCTGCTGAACCTGTTACTAAGTCACTGGTTCATTTCTGTTCAGCTCTCAGCCTCCTTGACACTTAGACAACAATCACTAGAAGATTTCTTCCCTCTCAAAGGCCACAACCTTTGTAATTCCTGACCTTGGTCTCATAATTTTGTTCTTCTGTCTGAGCTTTGTTCTCCAATCTTTCTCTTGATTCTTTAGATACTTGATATTCTGGTCTCTTTTCTTCCCTTTCAACACATTCTCTGTACAATCTAATCTACACACATGGCTTCCATAACTATTTTCCTATGGTGGGTGACTCCTAGATTTTTATCTCTACCTTCTAAAATTTGACTGCCTGTCTGCTGAACTGAACCTCCCAATTCAAACAAGGTCAAGGAGGGCTGGGGATTTAGCTCAGTGGCATAAGCGCCTGCCTTGCAAGCAGGCCGTCGTGAGTTCGATCCCTAGTACCGATAAAAACGAAAAGGACAAAAAAAAAAAAAACAAACAAGGTCAAGGAGATACAGATGAAGTGTTCACTTAGTAGTCACTGGGTCAGACGATGGTGATTTGTCTCCTAACCTGACAGTGTTTTATCAGTGCCACTCAAGGAAACAATTTCAGGCATCCGTGTATCTGATGTGTCTCCCCTTTCCGATTGCTGGTTGCCCAAGCAAGGACATCTTCTGATATGTTTGTGTCACCAACACCAGCACCAGATGCATCTGCAAGCTATTTTTAACTTTCTGTTGAAATCTCATTAAATATATAGAAAAATACACATGCCATATAATTCAATGAGTTTCTGAGTGAACACAGCCAACACCTGACGCAAGAAACAGAACATTACCAGCATTCTAGAAGGTTTCCCAGAGTCTCTTTCTTCCTATCCTCAGCTTCCCCATGAAGCAACTCAGACTCCTAACAGTGTAGGCTGATTTTTCTTTGTTTCCTTTTTGTCTGCTTTGCACTCTATATAAATGAATGATATGCATTCTTCTTTGTATTATTTACTCAACATTTTACTGCGCTTGTGAGATCCAGGTGTAGTGTTGCACATAACCGTAGCTCAGTATTGCACAGTGAGTTCAAGGCCATCCAGAACTACGCAGCAAGACCGACCCTGTCTCAAAAACAAAACCTTAAAGCCTTAGTTGGGATGCCATCACACACCCAGGATGGCTGGAATAAAAAAGAACAAGAAGGATAAAATGGAAAAAGAAAACTGCCGAGTGCTGGAGCGGACATGGGGCTCCTGGGACTCTGTCAGCCCACTGCTGAAAGTGTAAACTGCCACAGCCACTTTAGACAACCGGCAGGATCTGTGAAAGTGGGCCACACACACGACCTTCCCCTTGCGATACCATCCTAGGCACGTACTCAGGGGGAGCCCACACAGATGTTTACTACAGAAATGAATGGGTACGTATTTATTCTGTATTACTTTCTCCAACATCTTACTCATCTGTGAGATCACCAGCGAGGCTGTGCACACGGCCAGAGGTCAGCTATTCTGTGTGCCGTGCAGGACAGCACAGGCTAACGTTCTCCTGCCCATGAGGAGCTGGGTGGCTTTTGCGCCGCTGCAAACAGCCCTTCTTTGAACTCTTCAGCATTCACTCCACTGTCTTAATCTCAGTTGACAGTGAAAGTCTCCAGGGGTGGATTTTTTTCTCCTTCAAAAGAGCCACATCTTTTCTTGACAGTGTGAAATTGCAGAAGCAGTTTACCAATTTCAACAGAAAACCTGCTGAGATTTTTACTGGCAGCGCATTGTATCTACAGATGGACCTAGGGGGACAGGCGTCTTTTGACCAATGGCTTCTACATCGTTGCATTTAGTTATAACCTTTTAAAGTTTCTGTGATTATGGTATATTGTTTTTCATCTAGAGTGTTGTATATCTCTTGTTAAATTTGCCCCTAGGTATTGATGGTTTTATGTGGTTATGGTTTTCTTTGGGTTTTTCCATTTATGTATTTATTTGAAGGCAGGGTCTCACTTTGAGGTGCAGGGTCGCCTTGGACGCCCTTACGCAACCCACGTGGCCTCAGACTCCGGAGTGCTAAGATTACAGGTGTGCACCACTGTGCCCGAGTCACTCACCTTCTTTTGTTTTTTCTTCTTTCTAGTGCTAGAGATCCAGGCTTCCCTTTTGCAAAGCACAGACTCTACCACTGAGCCACATCCTAGCCTATGGATAGTTTTTGAACCATTTGTAAATGGTTAACTTTTTAAATTATTCAACTAATCAAACCTATTAAGATTCTGACCTTGAAAACCATCCCCTACCTCCTGCTATAGTCTTATATTCAAGGGCTTTGCTAACCACCCAGCTGCTGTGAACATTTGAATCTATGACCCCTGCTCTGTTACTTTTTGGTGTTTGGGAGATGCTGTTTACTACACTACACAATTGCATTGTATTGTGTTGTGTTGTGTGCACATAAGGGCAATATCCTTTAAATGCTGTGTTTTTTTTAAATTTTTTTTTAAGACTAGTCAAGTGCAGTCGTGAGAAGGGGGGAAAAAGTAGAACAAGGAGTTCAATCTGTACTGACTGTGAACAATCAATTGAGATAACTCACTACCTTCGAACTAGCCTTAAATGCTGTTTTAGACAGCCTTTAAAACCCAGCTCAAATGTTTTGCTCTAGGAAATCTCTGCCAGTTCTCCAGTGCCTCTTAGTCTCCCTTACCCCAGCATCTATCTGGTTACATTCTCATGGACAATTTTTATCTTTCTTCTCTTCCATCCAGGACTTGTGAAAAGCAGAGGCTGATCATTCCCTGTGCTGTTCCCAGGGCACAGTCCAGTGCGGCAGGTCCGGAAATGAGTGAGCCAATGAACGAGGGTGGGAGCTGAAACTAGACTGCGTCATATGTGTCTACTACAGTCTCAGAATTTAACCACAGGGCCTGGAGGAAACGTTTTCCCCATGCTCCAAGAATGACACCGTGTTGCACCCGAGCAGGACATTACAGGTAAACCTGAACAGCCCCATCACAAGGCTTACAAATATCCCACACAGCCTTACCAAGTTTCTTGTTCACGTCACTTTGGGATTTCCTTGTTCTCTTGTCGACCTCATCCACAAGCCTCTGGCTTTCTGCTACAAGGCGTTCGGATCTGGACTTTTGGGCCTCTGCTCTGTGGTACTGGTTCTTGTTAGCAATGTACCAATCCAAGGGCAGGAACTTGGGAAGAGCTTGTAGTAGCTTGGCCATTCGAAATTCCTCAAGACCTGATCAAAGGCAACTTGGTTTCAGATTACATGAAAGCAGTTTGGTCCTTTTATTATTATTAGAGGGTTATATTCATACCAAAAAGGGCACCAAGCATAATCTGTACACAAAGTGGACACATCGGGTGTAGGCGACACCCAGATCAAGAAAAGAACACTATCAGCATCTCAAGCCTCTTTCCAGCCACTAGCTGCACCCCCAGCCCCACAGAGGGACCACTAACCCCACCTTCAACAGCACGTATTTCTTCTTCTGGTTTTGAGCTCAATATAAATGGAACCCTACATTATATATACATTAATATTTATAGTAAAAAGCATACTGTAATTTCTAGGTTAGATAATTATAAGATGCTTAATACACAATCTCCAGGATAAAATGTAGAATTATAAAAAGAGGAACATGGGAAGAAAAGAGAGAATGAATGAAGAAAAGACTGGTTGTAATGAACTGCACAGTCTAATAAATTCAAACCCCAGTATACTTTTACAATATTGAACAAAAATAAGCCGAATGTTTCTGTTAAAGATTTCTTAGCCTACTGCTCATGATACCTGGGTTGTTTCTACTACAGCTACAAGGAGAACGCTGTGAATATTCTCCTACAAGTCTTTAGGTAGATATCTGAGTGCAGCTGTATGACTCAAGAGAATTATTGGGTCATAGAATAAGTGTTCTACTAAATAGGCGAACCCAGACACTAAGAAATGAACAAACGGGACATCTGTAAATTGAAAATACTGAGCCTGTTCAGCAGATAGAAGAACCTAGAAACTTTCCAGGGCAAAAAAAAAAAAAAAAAGAAGAAGAAGAAGAAGAAGAAGAAGAAGGAACAAAAAAGAGGATGCAGGAGGAGGCATCCCGCAGAGGCCGGCAACCACAGGAAGGCTGAAACACAAGCCCCGCCTGGGCACACAGCGCAGATAGGATGAAACCCACCGCCCACCTCACTGCGTCCGCACCCGAAATCCCAGCCCTTGCCCTGCATCAGTTTGAGCAGCTTCAGACTGGGGGGCCTAAGTTAGGGCTGTTCCACCCAGCAGGGCTTCAGGCGGGGCGTTCCGGGGTTCACTCACCTCAGAGCCTCAAAGAACTAACACTCTAGCTGGACGCGAGCTTCTCAACCCCAGAGGGAGCGTCCGGCTCTCCCACAACTTGAAACTGCGTGGTTTCTATGGCAACCAGTGACGCGTCTCCCGGGGAAACGGGGCGGGTCCGGCCTCCGAACATCGCGAGAGGAGACTGCGCAGGCGTCAAATTTGCTGTTTGTGCACGGAAGGGGAACGCGGCTCGGGAACCGCAAGGACGGGTGCTCGGCGGGCTCAGCCAGCCCCGAAAACGCGGACAACAGGCGGACTGAGTCACCGGGCCGCCCCGGCCCCCTGGAAGTCGGGCTCCCCGCGTACCGTGGGGTCGGGCTGGCTGGGGCAGTCTCAGGTCCTCGGAGCCGCGGGCGGGCCTGAGTCCACCACTCTGCCGACTCTGCACCCCGAGGAGGTGCGGGAGATTCCTGAGGTGGTCGTGGTCGCGAGTGGGTGCGCAGGAGCCCGGGGACGCGATACACGTCTGGCATCGGTGTTGGGAGAGGAAAAACTAATAGATCTTTAAGCTGTTGACGGCACAAGGCTTAGAATTTACTAAAAGAGTGCGCCTACAGCCAGAACTTTTCCTGAGAGTTAAGCAGGCAAAGTGTATTTCAGTTTTAAATGGTCCTAAAATTCTTATGGGTTGGATTTAAGTTAAACTTCCTTAACTTCAACCGTGCTCTACCAGCTTCTTGATTGTTAGCGCCTGCAAACTTATTTTCATGGTTTTTTTTTTCAAATATACTCATTTTACATGTAGAGTATTTATTTTGAAAGAAGACTTTGCACCCCGGCCAGAAATGGAAAATTAGTATCAGTATGTGAGAGAAGTCACCATAAACATAAATAAAGTTAGACAAAGCAACATAAAAGTTAGTGTTGATTAAAAACAATGAGATAAAATAAAAATATAACCTGTTGTCTCTGAGAGTAGGTTCCTCAGTTAAATGAATGGCCCTGTTTATGACAAGTAGATATTGTTAAAGATCACTTGATTTTTCAGTTTTTTGTTTATAGCTAAGAATCTTAACTTACTAGTAAACATACTGCAAGAGGTCGAAAGATATAGTTACTGCCCCCAAAGTAGTGATTTTTCTCCAGTGGAGATCCAGGAAGCATTATCTTTTGTGTACGAGGAACAACGGGAAAATCAGAGAGATGAACAGACGTCTCCAGCACAAACGCCCTTCCTTACCTGGCCTCGTCTCTGGACCCTGGAACTGAGGGTTGAGATCGCAGCACCGAGTCTGTCATTCACTGGCGCTATGCTGAGTTTCCTCCAGAATGTGTGAAGTCCATTTCCATGCGTGGCCTCTTCCTATGTGGAGCCTAAACAGGGAGGTGGGCTCCTGGCAAACATCCCATGGAAAATATGAGAGAAAAATTAAACAAGAGAGTTGACTCCAGGAGATAATTGCCAAGTAGGACTTCTAGAAGGAAAAAAAAATGGCAAACCAGTGATGAGTTACAACAAAAGAATGGCAGAACCACGCTGGTGCAGGGACTTCATGTGAAAACTGAAGTCTTTAGCTTGAAAACCCATCTGACCTAACACACACCCCTTATCTATACCTATGCCTATTCTGGTGGAATTTCTTAATTCAAAGAATTGTTTAAAAAGAAATGAGGTGCTGTTAAAAATGATGCTAGAATAATGTCTTCTAAGTTCTAGAGAAAATTATTTCAAATTGGAATCATACAACCAGTCAAAACGTCATGTATGGGTGCTGGAGGGAAATTCCCAGTCAAGCCAAAAGGAAGACTCTGCTCTGAGGAGATAAGAAGGCAGCATTTAAGATTTATACCTCTTGTGGGATCATTCTTCACATCACCAGACTGCTGTGGGATCATTCCCAGAGGCAACAGCACTGGGTTTACAAAGAGTTTAGTTTATACAGCATGTAGAAGTGGGACAGGCAAAGCCAGGGATGAAAACTTACCTCACTGGTTACATGCACTGAGTCAGATACTGACACGCAGGCTGGTCTGAACAGGTTTGTTGCACCAAAGGAAGTGTTTATCGTAACACAGAAACACTCTGGGAACAAGGGCAGGGGACCTTTCCAGGGTGATGTGGCTTGAGATGTCCTTGGCTAGCCCAGGGCGCACTGTACCTTAGGGCATAGACCATTATTACTCTGACTCAGAGCTTGTCAGCGATACACAGGGCTTACACACTGTCAAGGTCAATTTAACTCAGCAGAAACTTGGTCAGAGATCCCTAATTGCTCTCTGATCATGTAATATCTGTATATTAATCATTTTATAAATGTGTTCTTATAATTGTGCCCCAACATGAGAGAAAAATGCAGATTTTTGGATGGTGTGCTGGTGCTCAGACAGTTGACCATACACTCTGAAAAGAATTTGAAAAGTACAGATCCCAGAAAGAGGAAGACATCCAATACAAGAAACAGTGGAGCTGGGGATTTAGCTCAGCAATGTAAGTGCCTGTCTGGCAAGCGTGAGGTTGTGAGTTTGATCTGTGTTACAAAAACAAAAAAACAAACAGTGAAGCACATTAGAATAGCCAGAGCTGATTTAGTGTCATCTTACTCTGAAGTCCTACTATGCTTTTATTTTTCTGTTTCCTTTGGTTCTATCCTGTTATATCTTATTGGATATTATTATGTCTGATAATATAAACAAATTTTCTATGGAAAATGAGATAATATAGTAGCCACTGTTCATTCTCTGCGCTTTGGTTCTGAAAGCCCTGTAATGCTTTCATTCTCTTAAATGATTTCATACTATTTTGTTATGCTTGATACTATTGTATATGAAGCTATGCTCAACTATTTCAAAGAAAGAGACATTATGGTAGTTACTGTTAATTACGGGTTGTCTTGTGGTAAAATGCTGTGTTACTCACATTGTTCTGATCTGATCTACTTTGTTATGTCCTCTTTTGTCTTAATCCCTTTAAAATAAAAAAAATTAGAAAATAAAAAATCAGCGGAGCCGTGGTGCCCAGCTGTACTTCCAGCACTCAGAAGGTTGGGGCAGGAGGATCACAAGTTTGAGGCCAGCCTGGCGTACATAGCGATTTCAAGGCCAGCCTGAAGCACATAGTGAGACCTTGTCTCCCCCTTCCCAAAAAGAGAGAGAAAGAGTATAAGCTACTCAGGTGTATGAGGAAGAGCTGTATGCGTGGAAAGCACAAGAGCCTGCGTGAGGGGTGTGTGCAGTCACTGCTGTGCTCTCCGCTGCCGACTTCCCGCACCTGTCTACCGGAGCTCGCTGTGAGGCTGCGCGCCGTGTTTGCTGGCAGCAGTCGCCCGCAGTCGTGTTCACAAGTCTCCTGATTATGTTGGTTCTCTTGTGTCTGCTATAATCTTACGTTGTTTTGTCCCATGTAGCCCTGGGAGCAATAGGACACATATATAGATGTGCACATAGATAACTATACATATGTATAATAGATGTGTACATAGATATATACGTACATAGGTATAGACACTCGCATAGTTTAGGTGTGTACTAGGCCGCACCATCATGGTTTGTGGAGTGTAATCTAGGATGGTCACAACAGCAAAATCAACTAACAAACTTTCTAGAATGTCTCCCCACCATTAAGCAGCATATGGTTATAGGTAAAGTAGGAATAATAATGGTATTTATAGAATAGCAGTGAATGTTTATGAATTAATACATTGAAAGCACTTACAACTAAACCAAAGACAGAACTAATAAAAATTACTAATATCAGTAATTCCGAGTTTAAAGTTTATAATGGTTAAATAGCTTCATTGTCCTTATGTGTTACAAACTTGAGTTTGTATACAACATGCTTACATCATCTACATTTCCTTTATATGTTAAGGTTCTGGGCAGGATTTCAATGGAAAAGAAGAATTCAGACACTCAGTGGAGTCACGTCATTCCGAGATGCTCACTAGCCATTCCCAGGACCTTCCACCAACTGACCTGGTCAACCAACTGTTTGACCCCTAACTTGAACCCAAGGAGACCTGAAATGTGGTCCCGGGTCTGAATCACCCCGCTGCTGTGACCATGGGCATGGCCCTTCACCACTTCATCTCTCTCTGTTCCTCTGCAAATTGACAGGTTTAAACTGTACGATTTCTAAGACTTGCTTTCTATTTTACTTTATAATTTGGTACTAGGGATTAAACCCAGGGCCTCCATAATGGGCTACAACTCTAGCCTTTAAAAAAAGTTTTTTTCGTTTTGAAACAGGATCTCACTAAGTTGCCCAGGCTGGCTCAGATTTAAGATTCTCCTGCCTCAGCCTTCAAAGCGCAAGATTACAGGCATGTGCTACCCTGCCTGATTGCTTATTTAGATTTCTTTTTTTCTTTTCTTTTCTTTTCTTTTCTCTTAGAGCAGAAAGGAGTTTCTTCTAAGAGAAACAAGTAACTTCTCAGTGTCAGTCATATCAGTTATGAAAGTTACTACAGAATCCGACCCAGTATTCTGAGCCACATGGATTTTTTTCTTAGAGCTGCGTGTCTCAAACTTGAGCCTGAATCAGGTACACTAAGACGGGACTTGGTAAACACGGGTTGCTGGGCCCACCTCCGCAGTCTCTGATTCAGTGAAGGGTGGTCCAGCAGTCTGCATTTCTAACAAGTTCTAACTTGTTAGAAGCTCTGCTGTTTCAGGGTCTTTGCACCATGAGGCACAGCATGCTGTGGCCTGTCCAGACTGAGAAACACTCCTGTTGGTACACTTGAACTCCCCTACAACCATCTCTGACACTCAAAAGGCAAAATGAGAAGCAGGCATTATTTCCTCTGCCTTTACGGAGTCCGATAGCCAGGTGACTGTAATTATATAATGGAAAACATAAAGGCAGAAAAACTTGCTTTCCAAAATTTTCATATTTCCCAACTTTTTATTCTTTCTAAACTTCTTCCCTAAGTTGGAAATGTAGGCAGTGGCCCTTGGCTATCCAGGTCCCTCAGCAGTCCAACCAACGCTTGACTTTATCGACAGGACACCCATGATGACACTAATTGAAGAATAATTATCATTTTCTTTCTTTCAGACTGTCGTAGTGAAATTGCATAAGTGAAATAAGCTGATTTTTTTCAAAATTAGTGACTCTTCCTAGGGAAATATGTAGGACACAATTCACTGCAAACTGCTTTAAAGATGACTTATGCTGATCAGGAAACGAGTTTAATCACATAAAATAGACACTGAGAAATCTTTTTTAAATTGAGTCCCCAAATTAAAAATATATAGTTAAACTGGGATGTGTTTTCTAATAAAGTATCAGATCATCCATGAAAATTCAATTTTGAAGTCTTTTTCTTCCTTTGAAGGGCGTTCCCCCCCCCATGTAAAATTGTATTAACAGAGTTTATGAAGAAGTCCAGGATACAGCTGAGTATAAAGTTGTCTTTGTTCTTGAGGATGCAATTATCAAGCAGTCAAGGTCTGGTTTCCAGGAGAGGAAGGTGGTAACGGGTACCGGTTCAAGCCAGGACTTCTGCAGAAGTTTCAACAATGGTCTGACCCTTGTGTTGTGAATGGTATTTTAAAAGCTATGTGTTGACTATTTCTAGTCACCTGAAATGTTAGTTACAGACTAATTTCATAAATCATAGCTGTTTCTTAATGTTCTACTTAAAAGTAGAGCTCAGGATGCTAAACATATGCGTATTGTTTGTAAATTCCTCTCTAGCAGCATGTATGTGAGCCAAACTCTGACTGAGTCCAACCGGAGAAAACGTAAGTGTAAATTTATTTGCCTTGTAGTATTTGGCACAGTCTAGTGAGTTCTGATAGTTTTAATAGTGTCTGCTATAGAATCTTGGCAGACACAATCCAGCATCCTCAGAATACAGCAGCAGCACCCCGACAGTCTGCATCGGAAGCCCCTAAGAGGTCCTGGCTACAGGACAGCTCCCCAAACCCAACTGCAAGCCTGCTGAGTCAGAGCTGAGACACCAGGCGGGCGGCAACTGCAGCAGTGCTGGTCCTGCCCTCCCCACGCCTTCCCTGAGGTTTCACTTTTCGACAGGAAAGAGAACAGCAATGTAAAACTGCCCTGCACTTGGGCTGGTTTCCTCTGCTGATCTGATTCAATCATATCTGTCTGTACTGGGGAAGAGTTCACTGAATGGAGCCCTTGTGTTTCAGGAGAAGAAATGCAATCCCTCACTGCTCACCATCACTATGGCCGTGGTAGCTCTGAGAACAAACCAGCTTGGATTTCACCCTTGAGGATTCACATTGCACAGGTGCAAAGAGCTGCCTGAAAGTCAAGACGCGGCAGGGCAAGTGTACACCGGGCTCCTTGTGTGGTCAGGTTGTTCTTGGCATTTGTCAGCACAGCAGCTGAGCCTGCAGATCTGATGGCCACAGTAGAAGCCAGATTAACTGCAAGATGCTACTGCAGAGCCCAGCAAGGGCTATGGGCCCTCACTCAGCCCAGTTCATGATCAGGTACGCCCGAGACTGTAGAGAGGGGCATCTTATCTCCTACAGACAAAGGAAAGGGGTCCAGGGCTTCTTGGTCAGGAAGTGTGTGGGAAAGTGCCTTAGGAAGACTAACAGAAGACGAAGGGGCTTCTCCTACTAACCAGACAGGGCAAAGCAGAGAAATTTTTCTATCCCTGTTGTTTTTTCATTGCTCATGGCTCAAAATGATCCCTCTGCCAAGCTGGCACATTTTGGGGTGGCATATGCTGGTCCTCTTGGTATCATCGGCCAGTCTATCCGGGGAGAAGCTCGTCAGGGCTGGCGCAAAGGGGTAGTTTCCTGCAGTTTCCGGAAATTCCATCCACAACCCTTGTGCAGAATTGCAGTGCACTGATTTCCAGAAAACTAAAGGAGTGGAGTTAACATGACCACCAGGCAGAACAACTCTTTGGAAAGAGAGCTTCTTAGACCCAAAGCTCATAGTTCAAATGGCTGAAAATGAAATCACAGTTCATAATGGTTTCCTGATACACATGGATAAACCATACCTTCAGATGAACCCACTGCTGTGAAGTCTAAAATCTAGGCCAGGACCTTAGTGCGAGGAAACTCCGATGTCCACTAGAGGGCACTGTAGTCCCTCTGTCCGGGAATAGGTTTAGCTGAGAAGAAGGGAATGTTTTTAAATTTGTGATGAGAAGGGCTTAGAGTGAAAACGAAAATCAGTGTTTACTCTAGCAGGATTCTCCATACGACATG